CCCATTTTCATTCAAATAACATATTAGATTCAAGAGAAGCTTATAAATTAAATCCATGAAAAAAAAAGTGGCAGTTAAGCACCTTAACCACTTTTTCTGGTTCAATGATAGGAAGACCAAGTTCAAAGAGTTTCTTATTTCCCCAGTTCTTGAACCAGTGAAGATCAACACATTCTGCCAGCATATGAACAACAGCAGACTGTGTGATGATGTTTTCAATTTTTCCTTCACCCAGATCAACAACAGGAAGACTCTTCATCCTATATTTTGATAGTAGCAAAAGCATGGTAAGAAATGAGTCTTCTTTCTGTAACGCTAGAAAAGGAGCCCAGCGGAATGACCCTGAAATGTCCTGAACCTGTGGAAATAATATATATAGTCAAGTTGGACACAACACAAATAAATCATGGAGCATTTAACAGAATGCATTTAAATTTTCTCCAAGGATAAAAACCTTCGTATTCCTATAGAAGTGTGAAGAAGTCAGATATTCAAAAAAGCTTCCTTCTGTTGAAGAATTGGCTCCAAAGTCATTCCCATGAGATGCTGCTACATCTGTCTGCCAAATAGGAGATTAATATTTTCTGAAGGTCACAATGTCAAATCCTATTAAACAAAAGTTTTGAACTTTCTAATAGAGTAAGGCATGACCGTCCTATCTAATTCAACATCCATTTACATATAATCTAAGATGCAATTTCGCCACGTATACAGTATATAGCGTCATTACTTATTCATGTAAGAGGGTTACAAATAAACTAATCCCAACTCTCTTTAATTAGTAAGCTTTACCATGCTAATGGCCCATAAAAATGGCACGTAATAGAATTGTCACCTTAGGAGCAAAATTTATGCTTTAGTAGATTAGTTGATAAAATCAATTATTTGATCATATAATATTATGTTATAATCCCATGTAAATATTTATTCCTTTTTTTTATTTCAATCTAACTTAAAATATATTAACAATATATTCTCTTTTATAAAAATTTTATTCCGGTAAATTTTTTGTATTAAAAAAAATTTATTTTTATAAACTTAAACATATATAATAGGCCAAATCATAAAAATTAAAAGGGTTGAACAATTCGTTTAGCCAGAGATTATGGACATCATCATTGGTTGAAACTTGTACTTTTACGGAAAATTGGGAAGCTTGTGTACTTTATTTCACAACATGAGTCATCATAAATACCGATAAGTGTTAGTTTTTTGTTAGCGCCTCCGCAAGCAACCTGGTCTTCATGGAATCTACTTTATAATTATCATTCCAGTAATAGCCAAAAATTGTTGTAGGATGAATCTCATTTTCAAATTTTCAATCACATATAAGGTAAATAAAAGTGGATGCAGCCTCACAAACCCAACTAGTATGGGCATTTTGAATGAAAGGATTCCTTTGATAAAAAGAAATGGCCATTTTATGCAAATCTGAATGATCCAACTTCATTTTGTATCAACTAGTAGAACCGTCACTTAATACATACCAAATTATATCATCCCATCGTTATGATGTTAATAGCCAACTATAGTTTGAACAACAAGATTTAGCTTATCATAATTTTTCGTTGCTTGGAGTAAAATCATGTTCCAAACAAAAACGAGTCATGTTAAATTTTAAGCAATTCGAAAGGGATCTTAAATCATCATTATGCCCTTGTTGGTTTCTTGAAATGAGAAAGAGGAGAAAAACTAAAATTTGTTGTTGTAGATTGAAGGTAAATCAGAACCACACCTTTTGTGTAGCCTTACATATTTCCTTACAATATTTTAAACTTGGAGCTAATAACAAACTTCCAAGAATAGACCTAAAAATTAGCCAAGAATGTAACAAGAAACAAAATTCAAGAAAAAATAACAACTAACTCCTAAGATTAAGGAATAAACTAAATTCAAATAAACCTAGACTCAATAAGCAGTCCTAAGCATGTATTCCAACAACCCTTAATCCTTTTCACTTGTAATGCAATGCACTATATTATGCTATGCTTATTAATACCCATGGTTATAACTAATGCACTTATTTTTAACAAAAGAAATAAATTGCTCAAAAAACTGATTCTATTCATTAATGACTTGAGCTCTTATAGAGCATTGCAACTATCTTAAAATAAAACCCTATTAAGCAATAGTGCCCTCAAATGGATATAAATCTCAACACTTCCCCTCAAGATGGGCAAAAGCACTAAGTCTATTTCATCAGATAATCTAGAGAAATCTAATGAGCTAAATCCTTTAATGGGTAGTCAGTCACTTGCTCTCCAGCATCTACATGACCTAGCTCCAGTAGTCTGTTATTCAACTTTTCCTTGATGAAGAACATATCAATCTCCACATATTTAGTTCTATTGTGTTGCACCGAGTTGTTGGCAATGTTCATTGCTGACTTGTTGTTACACCATAACTTCATTTGAGCTCCTTGGTCCATCTTGAGCTCTACCAACAAGGTTATCAACTACATCATCTCGACAACTCCTAAGACCATGGCCCTGTATTCTGCCTATGTTGTTGACCTCTCTACTATTGACTGTTTCTTGCTCTTCTATGTGACTAAACTACCCCCTACGAACACTATGATGTGGACTTGTCAACTGCACAACTTGCCCAATTAGAGTCACAAAAACCCTCAATGCCTACATGCCCATTTTCCCTGCGGATTATCCCTTTCCCTGGAGTAATCTTCAGATACCATAGAACCTGATACACTATGTTCATATGACCCTTTTTTTTATCATGCATGTAGCAGCTCATCATGCTCACTACAAATGAGATGTTGGGACGAGTGTGACTAAGATAGATCGGACGGTCCATCAACCTCTGGTACCTCTCACGATCAACTGACTCTCTTACCTCTGCACTCAGTTTGGTCTTCTGATCAAATAGAGAGGCTGCAAGCTTGCATCCCAGCATGCATGTTTCATTAAGAAGATCTAATACATACTCTGAAACAAGAATATTCTCTCTTGTCCACGGCCCACCTCATTCCCAAAGAAGTATATGAGTTGTCCACTGTCCTTCAATTTAAAATCTTCGCCCAAACTTACATTTGGTTAAGCAATCTCTGTCCATCATCCCTAGTGATAATCAATTTATAAACATACACAACAAGCATAGTAGTATGACCTCCATTTCAACGAAAAAGACCAAATGGTTGCATTGATCTGTTGATATCACATGTCCATCATAGCTTCTCTAAGCTTGCTAAAACAGACTGTAGAAGACTGCTTCAAGCCATAAAGTGACTTCTTGAGCCCGCACTCTTTGCCTACTGTCCAACTTGTACTGAATCCTAATAGTATCTCCATATACACCTACTCCAATAATTTACCATGAAGGAACGCATTCTTCATATCAAGTTTGTGTAACTTCAACCCATCATTAAATGTCAGAGAAATTAGCGTCCTCACCATACTCAGCTCACTATTAGTGCAAAGATCTCATCATAGCCAATTTCACACGTCTGATTGTACTATTTCACCACCAATTGTGCCTTAGAATGCTCCACTTTTCCTTATGGATTTTATTGTGAAGATTCATTTGCACCCAACTGCTATTTTCCCTGGTAATGATACTTTTTCCCATGTTTAGTTTTCATCAAGAACCCCAAGCTCTTCATCATGGTCGCTTTCCACTTAGGATTCTCCTAGGCTACCTGTCAAGACTTGGGTATAAAGAAAGTGACAAAAATGTAATGAATGCTTGATGTACATGTGATATGTTAGTGTATGAAATAAATAGAGCAATGTAATGTTCTCACCGAAAATGATCAGGAGGATGTCCAACATTGTTGTGAAAGGTCTTCCTTAAATTCATGGGTTGGAAGTAGAGAGAATAAGAATCATATTACTAATGCATTTTGAGTTGGAGGTAGATGAAGTAGGTGTCTCAAGAGTTGGGGTGGACTAGAACAAGAAACCTGCAAGTCGAGTAGCACGACAGACACTATTCCCTTATTATGCTTCGTTCTAATTATATAGATTTTTAACTCCCCTTCAGCCTTAAGTCCCACCACCTCCAGATACTACCTCCTCATATTTTGTCTCCTTAATGAATTCATCCCTCATCACATGACAAGGCATCGCTTCTACATGAATCAATCTCACCATCACTACTTACCCCCTCTTGCTTCATACATCCAATATTTGGCGAGCCATCAAAGGGTGAGATCACCTCCAGGGTGTAGTACGGTTCAAATTCTCTAAAGAGCACATCCATGCTCATAAATAGTCATTTCTCTATCGAGCACCCACAAACATATCTCTTATGGGTGGCAAAATAATCCACAAAAGCAGATTTCACAGCTATGGGATCTTGCTTCCCTACTAATGTTACGTTGTCCATCACAATACATACACAGTCAAATATTTTCAATGGGAGTATCTCACTATTACCTCCTTTCATGATATGATAAGGAGACTTCCAATCTAGCACTTTCAAGGATATCTTGTTAATCAATTAAGCATCTGCCAAAACTATTCCTCTTTGCCACTAGAACATTCATTGCAACCATCATGCTTCAGGTTACCTCTAGAATGTGCCTACTATTCCTCTTTGCCACTTCATTTTGCACTAGTGTATATGGTTATGTGGTTTGATGTTGTACCACTTAGTCTGACAAGTATTCCCCAAACGCAGACATAAATACCTTCACTACTGCACCATATTGAGTATGGATTGCCTTATCGAAATCATTAAAACAAACGAACACATCACCCTTATTTTTCATCAGATACAATTAAGTAACATGAGAAAAATAATTAAACAAGTTACAAAATATCGATAACCATTCATTGAACTTGTAGAACAAGATCCCGAAATCTCAAAATGTATCAAATAAAAAATATAATAACTTTGATTTCTAGAGCTGATATAAGAGCTCCTAGTAAGCTTGCTAAACTCAAAAACATCACAAACAACTTTTTGTTTATTTTTTTTCATACAAAGACGGATAAAAATGACTAGTAAACTAAAAAATAAAATAAGAATGTCTCATGGATCTGTGATTTAGTAACAACACATCCTGCACACTCCTCCCAAATCCCGCAACTCCATCACTCTCTATTATGTATGTCAAAATGGAGTCAATCTCCTCCTATCCAAGTACCTGTCATAATCTGGCATAGGGCTTGGACATAACCAAGGTGAAGACAGAAGGTTGGACGATAAAAACATTAAATTTTTATCTTTTATCATGACCCGACCTGGGGCTTCGACTTAAACAAGGTAGGTACAAACGATCGGACTGTGAAAACATTACATTTCTATAAATAATATTTTAATAATGAAAGAACCACTTAGAAAAATGAATTAAGGCAATGCAATTAAATTTTACATCAGCTCTGGTTGTCCCCGACGACTATAAACATTCTCGTCTATCGCTCATTTTTTAATAAATTAATTAAACCTGAAAATTTAGTTAAAATAACATTTATCTAAATAAAGCTGGTGAATACTTATACTCTTAAACTAGAATAATTTAATGAAGAGAAATATAATATGCAAGTCAACTAAACAGTATAAAAATATAAGGGTGTTTAACGGTCATCTAATATGATCATT